CTGGTTTGGAAATGTTTGAGTGCATTTGTATTTCCCTCAGTTCTCTCATGCCTTGAATGTGAACTGTTGCTTCTACTTCAGTTGTCATAATGACAAAAAACTGTGTTTGTACTAATATTCAAAACCATGTTCCTACAAAACGCCAGAGTTACAACATTGAGAGAAAAGTACTTGTTGATTTAGAAATTATATCATATATACCAGCTAAAAAATTAGTTCCGCTCACAATCCAAGTAAAAAAACAAAGGTACATTGTGAACTCAGTGAACTTGTGTCTCAACACCTCCTTTTGAATGATCAAGTGTGAGTGTTGATATCAGAGCTACAGTACAGTGTGTACTGTGTCCCTCCTTATTCCTGTTCTGTGAGTTTTGCAGCCGCTTTGTTCCCATGTGAAGAGGGAAGTCTCTTTATCCTTTCCCAAGGCAGCAACTCACCCCTACTCAAGAGCCCAAAGAGCCCTTAATGGTGTCATTGTGAGGACAAATACAAGGTTTAAAGCACACTCACTTCAGCTGTTTTATGTAATTGCACACATTAGGTAGTCATATGTCAGTGTAGACAGGTGTGCTGAAAATTTACAGGATACATCAATAGTTGATGCCCTTCATTAGTCTTGTAGCTGTATCAGTGGATTTATCCATAGCCACAGAGACCAGCTGTAGATAAGGAATTGAACACACAAAAGAATCCTGTACATCTTTGCAGTCCTGTTGACATGTCACACTGTTAAATGTCCAATGTTTGGCAAAATTACACCAAATTACTTCACACATTAGCTGTGACGTGTTAGTACCAGTGTGGTGGTGGAAGGTGAACATTTTTAAATGAAGATGTCTGATCAATAAACATTGAGTTTGTTACAAGGAGAGTCATGTGTGAATCTAGAGTATATAAAGATGGATGACATGACAGCTCTCCAAAAGAGAAGCCAAAGCATCTTGGTAGCCGACTGGTGGCTGGGTTCATCATAGGTCCTAAACCCTGCTTCCTCTGTGATAATGGATTGGATATGGACCAGACAAATAAATCAAAATACAAACCTACCTTTCTCAAAGATGGTGTCTGTCATTTAAAGTTGCTCTTATTCACTTTTTAGACATGTCCAAGTCTTCATTTTGCAGGCAAGTTTAGTTTGAATTACTTTTTTGATGGGCTGAATGTCTTGATTGACAGCTGAGACTGACTCATGCTTGGTTGAGCACATGTATCATCGGGACCGTTAATACAGTCTATGGTGTGGATAATTTTGATTCATCAATCAGGATGCGATTGTATGGGTCAGAATTATGAGAGTGGAGATTTCCAACTTGTCCTCCCAGTTTCATGTGTTGGAATGTGCTGGTTTGATGTGAATTTAAGGTCAAAACCTGGAGGAAAACACTCAGTGTAGACCCAGCCTGAGCGTTGTGCACAATGCTAAAAGTATTTACTGTGCAGCCTTGGTTGGCATGCTGAATTTTTGTGGTTTGTAAAGCCATATAGCTGCCGCATTGGTTATATGACTAACTTTGGTTGGACACATAGTAAATTTCCTTTAGTAAGTTTCCACTCCCAAAGGAATCTGGTCCAAACTGGTGTCTATTATTTTAGTCTCACAGAATGAAACCCACTGTGTTTTCAGAGAACTGAGTACCCCACCAAAGAGACTTGCAGGGGGAAATGCTGACACACCCTACAAGGTTGTGACCTGACTTGGCTTCAGAGAGACCTGTGTGAAAACCATAACAGGTAGTGGGTTTTGTGATTTCACAGTGCTTCTATAGCTGTTGTTGTGGTTTTTCTGTACAGTGTTGGAAAACCTCTGATTAGAATGATGCCCGTTATATATTTTTTGACTTTCTGACAGCATCACAACTAACACACAGAAGACGCTTTTTGACTTCAGGCATTTGGCTTCTTGGGCTTCAAATTCTTTGCCCAACCTGGCAGACTGACTGTTGCAGACTGATTGATAGGCTGGCTAGCTTTGGAAAGGAAGGAAACATCTTCCTTCCCTCCTTTGTGCTGGGCAGGAAAGGATGGACTTCAGCCAGATGACAGCTGTTTCCTGGTGGATGAGGGAGGAATGGGTGTCTGTGTGGGTGGGAGTTAGTTTGTTATGCTTGCAGTTTGGGAATATATGTTTGTTTTTGTTTTTTTGCTTTTGACTGTTGCAACAGTTTGATAAAATCTATAAATCTGAAGGTTTCACAGTAAGGTTGGTCTATTTCAGATTTGTATCAACAATGTTAAAGGCTTGACTAAAATTATTAGCTCTGCCAAGGAGATTATTTTTTTATTTGTATTTTGTTGGTTTAGCAGCAGAATAACACAAACACTACTGAACAGATTTCCATGAAACTTGTATGGTGCATGGTCAAAGAATGGACGGACTAAAATGTTGTCCAATCAAAAGAGGTGGTCTTGGTCTTGATCAAAAGAACCACGAACCAAATCATTTGCAGTGTGAACATTTCTTTTGGATACACTTTCAGGCCTATTGCCTATTCATTTCCTTCATTTCCTTCATTCAAACAGAAAGACTTCATTTATTAATAAATTTAGCAAATACAATAATATACAACATGCCAACGTCAGATGCACAGTCATCTGCCAACCAATCAATGTCAAGTATAGGTATGTACAGCCCACACAGTGATGACGCCAGGACATACATGTTCTGTATATTAGTAAGTAGTAGTAAGTCTTTAGTCAGCTCCCTAAATTGCAATGTGAAATCAGAACCAACCAAAATAAATACAATGTGAAAAATACTTTTTGTGAATTGTGAAAAATACCCAAACTAAAAAAGTGATACTCTGGTTTAACCATGTTTTTCACACATTCAGAAATGTCTTACCTTTCAGGCAGCATTTGTTGTTTTTTGTAAGTTGGATTCAGTGTTGTGTAGAGATACATTTACAGAGATTTGGTTGAGCTGTGTTTTTTACCACCAATGTTCCTGTGGAGTTTTCTCATAAACAACATCCCATGTTGAATACATTTCAACAAAACTTGCTTTAGACACTTCCGTACAGTAACAATACCTATACTTTTTTGTTATTTGATGAAAAATAATGATTCATTTCCTGCAGCTGTTTCACAATAAAAGCCTTTTGTGGTGTCAATGGGAAGCTTGTAATATGAAACAGAAGTTGCAGGAAATGCTCAGTTTGCATTAGCAGCATATCCAGAAAGTGCATATGGCTGCAATATAGCTGAAGGAGAGTGGTTTAGACAACAGTGAGGCTGTTATCTGTTTGAAAGTAAAAGCAGGAACACAGCAGTGTAACAGAGACGCCTCTGCCTTGAAGCCACAGTAGAAACACAAATGATCACAACCCCTGATCACCGCAGTCATGTTAAAGCTTGTCTTACTAGCTAGTAAATGGTCTGTATTTATATAGTGTTTTTCTAGTCTTGATGACCACTCTAAGTGCTTTACAGTACAGTTTTACATTCACTCACACATACAGTGCATCTTTTTTCTCTATTTTGGGATTCAGCATCTTGCCCAAGGACACAGTTTTCTCTGATTACACCTGTTGTGCATACTGATGTCCACCACACACAAACATTTACAATCATATGAGCAAACCCAATCATTAAAGATATACTGCACATTTAATTTGTTTTTTGAACTGAAGATAATGATATTATAATTATACGACTTTTATATGATGAGAGATTAATGCTGGTTTTAATTTCACATTTATCACATTCACATCATAAAAATATCTTGGCCTACATTTATGGGTTGATCATGTTTCATGATGACATCTGGTGTTTCAAACTATCTGGGACCTTGCTGGACCAATACTTATGTAGTTTCAATCACTTGGGACGTCTCTATGTCTACGTATACATACATTTATAGAAACTTAACACCCTCCTGTCAAACCAGCGGCAGCTCGTGGTGGGTAGTGGTCATAATTTTCTTAGCCCCGCCTCCAAGCACCTTTTTCTAAAAACGTTAGGGTTGAAGTTACACTTTAAATCGGTCTGTCACGTACCCTTTAGTACTATGAATGACCCTTATCTTGCTATTTGCCTTATCACGTCATTGTGTGATTTAATTCCCGCATAAGTAACTCAAGTCAATAAAATATTGTCCATAATTAGCAGCTCCAGAAGTGACTGTTTAACATTGGCTCAAAGGCATGGGTAATGTATAATATAATAATAGGACAAGAAAAGTTCTGCAAAACAACTTCTGTAATAACATAAAAAAGTAAATGTTGAACTTCGACCTTTAACTTTAATTGTTGTATTTCTCTCTTAAAATTTAAATGATTCTCAGCTATCAAATTATGTGTTTATGTAGGATTAAATACTGCTGAAATTTTGTCTCCTGTCCTCGCAATTTAAAAAAAAAAAAATATTTCTTTCCATCTTCCTGCTTTCCTGCAAGTCCAAGCTGTGGCCTGTTATCTCCATGGTGATGAAAAAGCAGTTGCAACAAAGAACCTAAACCACTCTCTCTCTTGTTCTCGCCCCCTGTCTCTCTGTTGCTCCCTCCTCTTTCTGTTGTCAATCCCTTTGTTTTTCTATCTCTCTCTCCTTCTCTCTATCCTCCATTTCAGCCAGGTGTGTCTCATCAGCCACCTACTAGCCTTTTACCGCCACTGTTGAGGTCACCATGGCAACCAGCGCCTTGCCAAGTGACAACCTGCCAACATACAAGCTGGTGGTGGTGGGGGATGGTGGTGTCGGGAAGAGCGCCCTCACGATCCAATTCTTCCAGAAGATCTTTGTGCCGGACTATGATCCAACGATAGAGGACTCGTATCTGAAACATACAGAGATCGACGGGCAGTGGGCAATACTGGATGGTGAGTAGAAAAACATGTGCATGTGAAAAGAACCAGACTGCAGCTGCAAATGATCTTATTTGTCAGTACTCATCTACTATTTTATGTATAATTTCATTTTCACTTCAGTTAAACATGTCCACCACTGACCAATGAGCGAACATACTCTATGTTGCTGTTTCCCACGCTGAGCTAGAATGGCAACTCCTCCCTCAAAGATTTGACGACATTTAAAGAGAGAAAGCACTTTCATGGTTGCTGCATGTGGGAGAAATTATGTATTATTTCCCCCATAAAATCATCAGTTTGCTGCAAACATAAAACTCTGGAAAGAATTAGAAAACCAGTTTCACAGTTATTGTGAAAGCATGTTTGTGTAAATTCTACTCACTCCTTGCAAAGGGCTGAAAACTGTTTGGCGTGGACACAATAGTTGTATAAGAGCAGATTAAGCTTAAACGTGGCACTACTTGTGGTAATGGGTCGCCACTTTCAAGTGTGTTTCTCTGCCAAGGCCCAACAGTCCCCATAAATTAAATCAAACTGCACCGAATTGCTCAGAGTCATTGAAACGACTTCTCTAAATTTGCCTGACTTTTTTCATCGAGATCCATAAATGTTTTCATTAAATTGTCAAAACATGTCCTCGCAGTCTTGCCATGTTAAAGAAAGTAATAAAAAATTCCTGGATTTGCCCCTTTGTCTAAATCCACCACAAAATGTAGTGGCTTCTTTTCTGTGTTATAAACAAACAGAGACAGTCAAAGAGAGGGGCGAAAACACAACCTACTTGGAGGAAAAAACAAAACCCTCCTTTTCTGACATTTTACATTCACAGAAAATTGAAACAGATGCCAATAACAAAAACGTACACATTTCATTGTGCAATGATTCCTTCAGACTGAGACAGTTTACATTTTGTCGGTAAATAAGTATCACAATGCTTTTTCCTGAGGTTTTCAATACTTAATATTTGGAATAACTCTGACTCTTTATCACAGGTATGATAGGTGCTGTATGCTTGATAAGAACTTAACTACACACTAGACGTTGCAGCTGTTTGATTGATAGAAAATCTTCATCGTCCACTTTGTGGAAATTTGTCTTTGGCTGCAAAGCAAAGCACATGTCAAGAAACAGGTTTAAAAAGGCCCTTGACAAAGACCATACATTCATTCAGTCATTCAAACATACATACATAAAAAGCGAAATACAGATGGATGCAATAAATACAATCAAATGAAACTGTAGTAGTGAAAATTGGAGATAAAAGTGTTAAAATATTAACAGCCAATACAAAATAACAGATAGAATTGAGTAAAAGTTCACTTAAAGATATGTCTCTTTGCTGTGGGTACCCTGTGTCGTCTTCTCGAAGGAAATATTTTTAAATTCATTTAAAAGAGGGTGAGGATCTGTATGTATTGATGTAACTTTTATCCTGGTCTGTGTCATGTACAGCTCTACCGATTGCCCCAGTCTGTGAACTAAAGTAATACATTTATCTCCCTCAATCTACTCAGTGCTGGACACAGCAGGCCAGGAAGAATTCAGTGCGATGAGGGAGCAGTATATGAGGACAGGAGACGGCTTCCTCATCGTCTTCTCTGTGACGGACAAGGCCAGCTTTGAACATGTTGACCGATTCCATCAACTTATACTACGGGTCAAAGACAGGTCAGTCCATGCACAAATATAAAACTTCGGCAATTTGACTCTGAAACAATATTTTGGTATAATTTTAATTTAATTAGATTGAAGAAAATTATCAACATCTCAACTCTGAAAATAAATAATTCCAGAATTTTCTTGAAGAAAAAATATAATCAAGAACCTGAACCAAGGGAAACCAATTGAAAAGAATTGTGTGTAGGATGGCTCACACTACAAACACATAGCTGATCATTGTTTGTGTGAGTGTGAAAAATATGTGGTATGAATTCAACTTGTGGAACTAATCAGACATTTGGATTTAGAGTTTTAACACTTAAAAGTCCTCTGCAGATGTGAAATATGCAATGACATCTGTTTGACTTCCTCTTCCTGTTTCGGGAACATCCCTTTTTTAAACCTGTGTCCTATTTTTTTCCTCTTTGTTACATCCGTTTAATTTTATAGCAAATTTGCTGAGTAAATCTTTTTTTTTGCAAAGCTGAGTCAAATTTGACTGGTTGGAGTTAAATACTCCTGAAATTTGTCTTGGTTATTTTAACCTGATTATTTGGAAGTGAAAACAGAAGCAAATGCACCTAAATGCCGAGTCATTGTTGACAATTATTGTACTGGCGATCTGTGACTGTGCATATATGGTAACTATAGTTAATACAAATGATCGTACCAGGCAGAAAAACGGAGATGTGATTTATTGGGATAAATATATGTGATAAATTTACAATATGTTAAACTGGGGATACGCACACACACCCTGAACTTCTAAATATGTTAACTTAATGATGCCTCATCACTGCAGAACATTTAAGCCAAACTTTGTCCGCCTCAGTCAGCCCAGTTGTGAGTTTTGTCGACTCAGCAGAGAAGTCTGCTCTAACTGGCAAGGAAAGTTTATTTATATAGCACTAGTCAGAGACTAGGCAATTCAAAGAGGCTTAGAAATACTATAGAGACTGGTTGTCATATCGCTCTGCTTAAGAATGATTAATGATGATCAGGGTCTCCTCCTCACTCGAGGTTCCTAAAGCTGCAGACCAGTTTGGCAAAACCTCAAATTTGTAGTGAAAGAGAAAATAAGTGCTTGTTCTCTGACAGCAGCCAATAAAAGTGAGCTTGAGATGGAACAAAAATAGAGGCAAAAACTTAGCAACGTGCCGTCTGTCCTTTTTTGGTGCTGCCTAACTCTAGCTGGCTTTTCTGCAACATTTAAGTGCTGCAGAAATCTGACATTTTATAGACAAATCGTGTACCACATTATACTTGTTCTCTTTCCTGTCAAACCAATGCGAGTGGTGCCTCAGGTTGCATGTGTCACTTGTGTGTTGTTTTCCTCTCAGGGAGGCATTCCCCATGGTGTTGGTGGCAAACAAAGTGGACCTGGTCCATCTGAGAAAGGTCACCAGTGAACAGGGCCAAGAGATGGCAGCAAAACATAATGTTAGTAGTGAAAATGTCCTTAAGCAGTTTTCCTTTACTTTTCTATTATTTTGTTTCAAGAAAAGTGTCTTTGTATCTGATGCCAGGTTAAAACTCAAATTTAAATCAGCATTTAAATCTTAATCTGATTTTTACAAATATACCATTGGTAAGTATTTGCTCTATGATGTACTCACAATAGCACCTAATCTGTAGCTAACAGAAAGCTTAATAACACACTCAAACTTTCGATGTTTATGCTGTTGTTTTTTCTTTTCCATTTTGGATTCAAGGGCCTCTTTTTAATTTAGTGTTGTGTTCATACAGTCTAGCATCGTGTATCATTCACTTTTTTTCACTGATTGCGATTCTGTCGTCATGTAATTCTCTATCAGTTTCAGGTCATTAGACAACTGTTATTTATGACCCCTGTTGTTTCTCAACAATAAAGCATTTAAATGCTAATTATAAGCTGTACTGTGATCCCTATGATTTACACAGCACTTTTATGGAGTTCGGTTTAGTGATAAACTAATTTTAGTATTTCTGCTTACCTCTTCAGATAACTTATATTGAAACCAGTGCAAAGGATCCTCCAATGAATGTGGACAAAGCCTTTCATGAGCTCGTCCGCGTCATAAGGTAACTTCAGGTTCACTTCTGATTTGTCACCTTTTTCCGTCAGATAATGGAAAATACTGTAAGACAGATTCCCTCGTGGTAAAATGAGTCTAACTGTTCCAGGATAGCAACAATAGTCTCAATGCATCCATTTCCCCTTACTTCCAATGTACTTAGAGGTTAAGCACTGAGAGAGGGTTACCCTGGTGTGTGAGGGGAGTGAACTTGTTTTAAGGAAGAGTGGAAAAGGAAAATAAAAATCCCAGAGCTATTTCCTGTCTTGACACACATGTAATTTCAGAAGAATTTGGTTTGTGTCTACGCTTTCTATGTGGTCTTGTTCAGTATTTAAGGCTGTCTCTGCAAGAACCAGTAAGCAACAGGTTGTCTTGTCATAGTATTATAGGAATCAAGTGCACAGCAGTAGAGGACTGCTGACTTCACTGCTTTATTTGTAAAAAGAGAACCAGCACAGAGAAGTGGAGAGTCCTCATGGGGCATATACCAGCTGTGTAACTGACTTATGAGGAAACTGTTCTTCTGTCATGACATACCAAAACAGAACAGATTCATGAATCAACACTGTCCCCTTGTGGCCAGACTGTAGAAAATCAGTCATTTCGAGTAGATGAAAACATGTCCGTGGTTTTTTAAACTTTTTTCACTAATGTATAAGCATTTCTGCCAGATCTTGTTTATCTACACTAAGCTTAACTACAACAGTGTCTGATGAAATCGCCAGTACAGAGAGAAGAAAAATGCATTAATTTGGAAGGATCATGCTCACCCTCACCAGAACTAACCAGAGTGTTAATGAGACTGTGGGTATGGTACATAGAAGCTGCAGGGTTTTGTAGTCGTAGAGTCGTAAATGTAGACATTTAGGGGCAGTACTGTGGATATAGTTTATTTGTAGAAAACCAAGCTTGCTCTCTCTCATTTCATTGAACAAGAAATTCACAATCTTATTTTCCCAAATCACTAATACCTGATTTGACAAACAAACAAACGACCACTGCTCTTTTATATAGTTTCACTATGAATAAATAAATAAATAGTGATAATTGACCTTGAGATAAGATGGTTTATTCAAACTGTTTCTGCTTTTGTTTTCCTTTCCCTACCCCGACAGACAACAGGTCCCGGAGCGAAACCAGAAAAAGAAAAAGAAGATGAAGTGGAGAGCAGAACGTTCCACAGGCTCCCACAGGTTCCACTGTGCCATATTGTGACCTCCCTCGTTCCTTTAAATCATTCTTAACTATCACACACCCAAACGCACACCCACATACTCTACCTTCGGATGTCAGGGAACTCCCCAGCAGTGGTTAGCTACTGGAGCACAAAAGGGAGGGGGGACGTCGATGAATAGCTGGATGGATCCAGAGGAACATGTGGATATATACTGACGGACCAATGTCCCTGCAGCCCTTCACAATGCCTTGGAATGAGTGCTGTCACCTTCTCAATATACAGTCCCTTTCTGAAGATCTAATGGTTCCGTCCATCCGCATTCAACACGGAAGAACTGTTTCTCAATCAAGTGTAATATTTGAATTTATTATCAGACTCTAATGTAAAACTAGAGATATTAGAATCACCTTGATGTTGGAATTTTTGACTTCTTGATCAAAGGATTGAAAAGGGAGGAACTGGCTCAAAAATGGCGCTTCATATATTATGGACCTCCAACAACCTGCTGGTGATCACCTCTCTGTCCTCAGAGTTACGGTTTCTTGGAGAAAAGCATCTGTGTGATCCCTAGATGGGTTGTCTTTGCTCTCTCTTTTGTAGAGCGGAATTCATAAGAACATGTCCAATGAATACAGGAGCGGTGATTTGTGTCGTAATGGAAATAGATGTTGTGCGGTGTTGTCGATGAGTGAACTGCCAATTCTGTGAGCATAGCGTGTACCTCGTGGTCATGTGACGCTCTGGCTTTGAGATGTCAGTTCGGAGAGGATGGAAGGAACGTGTCGTAGCAAGTGAAAGAAACGTGACGTGACGCTGAGAAAATGATTTGACAGGTGAATGCTATGGCCATATCAACTTGTTTAATACGTGTTTAAATATTCAAATTGTAAAGGAGAGTATGATTGGTCGGTATACGGTGTTTTATTTTAAACGTAACAGGGTTTTTATCAAAACTGATGTGTCAGCAGCCATGTTTACACACACTCGTATGATGGATTATTTTCCCATACATACAGACAATATATAAGTTTACGCCTGGGCTACACTGGTTGCATGAACGACACGGAACGTCTTGTTTTTCTTATTTCAGTCTCACCAGAAACCTCATGTAGCAGCCTGGCTGCAGGCGGGCAGCAGACACGCTCTCTGTGGGAACAACAGACGCACGTGAGATGCAGCAAATCAGTGACGCAGTCGTCACACAATGCACACTCACCCAGTGTGGCCCAGGCCTTAGCTTGCCTCGTCAGTCATTTCAGTGGTTTGACGTGTGCAGTCTTCATCAGTACTGTGTGAATAACAGCCCTGGAAAATACAGTGAGGTCCAAAAGTCTTGTGACTACTTTCCTATTCAAGTGAATGGGGAGAATGGGAAAGTTGTCCACACATATATATATACACATATATACTTTCCATGTTTTCTTTTTCTATCTAAACGTAGAGACAATTATATTTGTGCTATACAAATCTAATTATAGGTGGCAATGTAATTCAATGCTGTTTTACAAATCTGTAGGCTATCCTTCATGAAGTAGAATAGATGAGGTTTAATAATGAGAGCTTCATGTTTCAGAGCTGAAACTGGCTTGAGAAGCTGATTTGCACTGGCCACTAACCAAAATAATGTGATGTCACTTTATTTCAATCTAGGGGCTTTTCAGACAGCACCACTGATTTCAGGACTATGTGTGAAACTCGCTCAGTAAAGGACGACACTCCTTCAGATTGGGGATGTAGACTGTAGCCCTGGGAACACAGCAGAGTCGGGACGGTTTCCTGAACAGGCAGATGTGATGCTCCTGGGGCTTAAAGCCATGTTAACCCAGCTACAGACCATGTATAGTTGTAGGGAAACCACACACAACAAAACATTCAGTGTCTTCATGTTTGTAGTCGTGAGGTGGGTAGGAATGTACCATTTAATAACCTATGAAATGGCTTGTACTGTTAACGCACTAAAGTTTCGGTGGACTCTTTTTTTTCGTCTGGATGAAAACCGTCTCTTGGAAGGAAGAATACATTTTGCACTTTTAATACAATTTCTGACTTTACTATTGGCATGTTGTTTTTGGTTCCAATCTGCAAATGAAATGAAAGGCACAGTCAAAAAATGATTTGAATGTAAAAATCAAATAACAGAAACAAGCAAATAGGCGATTAGCGTTGTAGCCCTGTGTGCCTGTGTATGCCTGTTGCCTTGGCTGTGGCTGTAACGGAGATGAAATAAGTTGGAACCATTTGAAGGGTACTCCGTTATGAATAAAGATTGAGTATCAAAAAGCTCACATATTGAATGCCGTACAACTTCACCTCAGCATGAAAGTGGAAAACCAACCTCAGCAAAAAGATGGAGGTATTGATCTGCTCCTACTGTTGATTAAGGGACCTTGCAAAGAGTTTCCAGAGAAGGACTGAAAACAATGAAGTACTGAGCTTAGAGCAATGAAGCAACACACTCTGGATCATGGGGGAGAAAAAAGGGTTTCAAAAAATGTGTTTGATGAAAATGTTGCATCATGTATGTTTGATACCTTTTTGTATTATTGATATGAATTATTGATATGATTCTTGCAAAGTGTTTTTTAAACGACTGAATAATTTATTACTGTCTATGTTACCTCAGTGTGTCCCAGACCTGGACAAAAAAAAAAAACTAAACTCCCCTGTATTCTTTCCTTTTTTGTTTTTCTTTGGGATCTCAGCGGCTGAAAGGCCTTTTCCTTCAAACCCCTGTATGAGAAGACTTGTAATGAAGAAACGGAAATAGGTCCTGAGCCAAAAAGAAAAAAAAAAGAAAACATAAGGATCTTAATTTGAGCTCATGTGAATGGCCTCAGGATGACAACGTAATCGCACAAACACCAAAACAAGGAAAAAGAAAAGTCATCCTACCTGTAGTTTTAAATGTTTTGTTGTTCAGTGGGAAATTCAATACTTCAAGATGTTGAGTAATACACTTAATAGCTATCTTGCAAAGAGTTAGATGAAGTGATTAGTGGACAGATAAGTGACTAAATATGACGCTACAATCAGCTAAGCAGCTTTAAGTTCAGTATTAAAGAGAACAGTAATCTTCTCATCTAACTCTCAGCAATTAACCATACTTCACCTTTCTCAGGTTAGTCTTCTGAGAAAGTGTCATTGCAGTTTGTACAAATAAACTTACTGATTTGATGCACAGGTTTGTATATTACCGTTTAATTGACCCTGGATCATATGTGAGCTAAATTGAGCACTTTTGTTTTCAGTCATTGAAGAGGCAGCGTATCTTAACGAACAGAAAGTGTTGACTGATTTGAACTGATTGGACTTGTGTCTACCCTGGTTCTTTGTCAAGATGTAAAGCGCCATGTGAACAGCAACATCAACAAAAAACACCATTTGGAGTTTCCCACCCGTTGTGTAATGTGTGTCTTTGGAAAGGTCTGTTGTGTTCTAACTGGCTGTGTCAGACTGAGGAGCTAGACGAGGCACAAACAAACTGTGGCCTTTTTCTCTAGCCTCAGGGTTCAACTATATTTCAATAAAAAAAAAACACAAGTATTGTGAGTGCATGTTTGTTTCATTCTTTTGTGGGGATACATGACATTAAAATGCAGGGCCACACACTGACTCGTTATCGGAGCTGTGTCCAACAGACGCGGTGAACATGGCCACACGTGTTTTGGAGCGTCAACCTGCTTGTGCAGCAGAAGCTCCCCTCATTAATCTTCAGCGCTGTCAAGCTCCATTGAGTTCAACACTGTGAGAGTGCTGAAAGCTCCATTTTGCCTCATTGATTCCAATTCCTCAGGGGAAAGGAAGGCGAGGCCGAGGCACGTAGAGCAGGTACTGCATCTGTGCAGGCAGATTTAAATTCACGCTTCTTTCACAGTGACATTTTGGAGGTGCTGAGCATGAGAGGAAAAGAACAAGAGCTGCAAGATGGTGTTCAGGATTACTAAGAAGATGGATATGATTTCCTGATCAGCAAAGGACCCCCCTACAAGATAGAAAAATATTCCAGGGACCCCCTCATGTATGACTATGAATAATTTTTTTCTACCCACTCATCCTGATCATTTCAAGACATGAATCTGGGAAGTGTCTGTGCCTTGAAACCCCATTTGAGGACTGCTGCCTTCTAAGATTCTGTTCCATCTATTAGTGCACTTTGTTACCACTAGGTGTCAGCACGTTATGGATTAAATATCTTCTCTCTTTACTTGGGTGGTAAAAGATGTTCCCACGATCAAACCCAGAAGAGAAGTGACATTAATGATTAATGATTCATTTAAAATGATAAAAAAGCTGCTTAGAAAAGAACAATGGCTGAAAAACAAGTTTTGAATGTCTGGAACAATCATTTTGTATGTTAAATAAAAAAGAAAACAAATTGCAAAATGTTAATTTCTGTTTCTGTTTTTTATATAATACAAAGAGGGGTTTTAAACATGAATAATTTAGATCCAAAACTGCATACTGGGCTTATTCCCTGAAAACCAAACAGACAGAGAAAGACTGATCTTGACAGCAAAGAAATGATTGCCTGGTTAAGGCAGAAGCTCTCTTACATAATGAGGACAGAGTAAAAAGGTTTTTGTTGTGGACTAAATTACACAGAGACTTCAGACAGGTTTAGACAAACAGATTTACTTAAAGATGGGCACTGACCATAGATTGTATATAAAGAGTCACCAACAGCACAAGCAACGACAGAGCTCTGAGTGCCTCTCTTTCTGCTCCACACTTATTGTGTATTTCTTTCTTTTTAATAGTAGGTAGATTTAAATGTAGACATCAAATTGAAACCAAACACCGGAGGCCATGGGGGAGAGAAAGAAACTGGCCGACTCAACTCCTCCCATCAGACTCCTGCAAGGACAGGGCCTCTCGAGAGGGTCGCCACAGCAGCTAAAGATCACATCACTGTCAGGACGTGTAAAACCAGAGGACACGGCTGTAAAATCGCTCATGGGTCCCACCATCGTCACCTCTCTCAAAGTGTCTTTTTTGTGGGAAACCCCAGTCACTGCAGATGTCATTAACCACCACTGTTGGGATGGTTGTGTAACGCTGGATTTTAAAACAGGAGGCTTGAGGCAGAGGTTAGGTGCAGACCAAGCAGGTGTTTATTTCAGCCACAAACAGACATAGTCATAGTTATACTTCTCCACAATGTACTGTGGACCACCAACAGCATGTGGTCCTGACAACAGCAGCACTTGATAGAAACTCATACGCACACTTCATGCATTGTATTCAATTTCTCCCACAATCCACCACGCAGACACCTCCTGATCTCAGCTCTTATTGTGCGGCAGCCCCTATCAGCCCTCTCATAGATCATACTTATTTCATATACACCTCTGACATCCCTGTGATGATGTAGCTGCCACGTTCTGCTGTGTATTTATTCTGTTCTTGTTCAATCTCTCACACGCTGCCCAGTCTCATACAGGCAGACTTTTCAGGAGCAGAACCTTTACAGCACAATCATCTTATTGCAACTATAGTCTTACTCTCTGTTTAAACACATTTTAAAGCTTTATCTAAAGTTATTAGGATTCAAGAGTGGAAGAGTTTGCAGTGGAGGAGTCACACAAGTGTTCAGTGGGCTCACCAGCCTCCTTTGGCAAGTACAAGGCAACTTTTATCTCAAGGGATAATGAACATTTTTGCAATTCACACAAGCACAAAAACAAGTATTCATGGTCATGCTCTCATAATATCTCCTTCACGAGAAAAAGATACATGAAAAAAAACCAAGGTAAGAATTTGCTCTGATCTTTTTAAGTAGTTCTAATTATGAATGAGTAAATACCACAACACTTTAAGACTTTTGGACTAACAGAATTACTTTAGTGCCACAAACACGCTTTATATGTCCCCTGATTCTATCTTCCTTTGTTTTATAACTATAACACTGTACCTACAGTAGGAAGGAGCGTTTCCACGACACAGGCGAGCAACAACTTGATAACTACACCTGAATGTTTCACATGCAAACACAGCAGAGACTGTCAATAAAAATGTCTCCACTTCCTCCCACCATCTAGAAATGAAACTCTTGATATGAACCCTGCCATTTTGTCCCGCAGATGTCACCTGGCGCCAGAGTCTTAGCAGTAGTGATCGATGGATGGACCGAGGAATCGAGGTCTCGCCGTGACACATGCAGTTCGATCCCAGTCTTCCCATCTGCATGCTGAAGTGTCCTTGTGCAAGATGCTGAACCCTGAATTCCCCCTTATGGAAAAAAAAGCGCTGCTAATAGATGCACTGTATGAATGTGTGTGAATGGGTGAATGACAAACTGTACTGTAAAGCATTTTGAGTGGTCATCAAGAGTAGTAAAGCAAAAACATAAAAACAAACCATTTACATGCTTGACCAATCATATGTCTCACCTTTCACACAGCTAATTGAAGATATAACAGTGTGACTGAAACAACCTGAAATGACAAAACAATAAACATCTTCGGGAAAAGTTTACTTGTTGTGTATTGTGACTGTTTAGTTGTAGCACATCCACAAACATGAAGGAGGTGGGGTTTCAGAGGCAACCACCAGGAGGCGATCAAGATCTTCACCTTTACTTTTGGGAGCCATCATGTCTTCCATCTAACCAGAGAGGGCAGGAGTGAAAGAATGTGCTCATGTGACTTAGAGCAATTCTCCATCCTGACTCCCTCTGGCCCTAACCTTTACTAAACAAGTCAACTACCCAGCATGTTGGTGGAACAGACATACTTAGCATTAAGCTCTATCCAAACCTGTGATCTATACCTCTATTTAAATATCTCTCGGATTTCCCTTTTATTTGGATTCAGTTTTTAGTTTTCACATGGTTGACAAAAGCCACTTTGTTCATCAAACAATTACACAAAAACAAAATGTCACACAAAAATACAATATATGAACATGATTGTCCGATAGCTGGACAATCATGTTCATTTATTTACATTCATATTCAAGAAAATATTCCCTTTGTTATACAGTGACTGCATAATACACGTCACCTTTGCTGTAGGTAGATTCATGGTAACAATCACAAATCACAGCACTTCTAACAGCTATTGTGAATGATGGCAAGGCTCATTATTTCAGGTTTGAGCAACAAACCCCCAAAATGTCTGCATGGAATCAAGTATCTGACGTTATTTTAACATTACAGCATACATGGACTTTGTCCCAGATTATATATAACGTGTTTATTTATATATTTATTTTGCATGATACTGTATTCCAACTAAATTTCATTTTTTGCTTTTACAAAATCAGGATATACATATATATATATATATATTATTAGTCACTGATGATGTTACAAGTGTATGTTTTATGTGTTACGATGGTCTGCAGAGCATCACTGAATCAGCAATGCAGCACGAAACTAAAGTTTTCAAATACATATAATAAAAATGTACAATGATTTCCTCTGAATTACATGTGATAACTAAAAGCCTTAGCCGACAAAGGCAGAAAATAAGATCCATGTGCCTATTCTTTAATAATGATTTTTATGACTACTTTCTGTCTCTCCCAGGGGATAATCAGTAAATGACTTCGTTCACTCCATCACAACTTGTAAATATATATATATATAAAACCAGGCACATCAGAACGGAATACCAAATAATCGTGGCAGACATTTTCATCTTTTAATTGGCAATTATAAATCTTGAGTCTCCTCAGTCTTGGCTTCAGTGTTATTATCTCAAACCAGAGTCATTACACTTGCTTTGATATAGTTTCACCTCATACTCTTTGTAAATGAGCGTCAACAAGGAGAAATGAACTTGACATGAACA